AAAAAATATAAATTTATCAAAAATATTTTTCAGAACAGTTTTAAAAATGCTTATAAAGAAGTCTACGTAAATTTTCTTTCACAGGAGGATTTCTTTCAAAACCATCGTTATATGATTAATCTTTCATGCTTTCAAAATAATAAGGGCATACAGGGTGTTGACATTTACATTGTGGGAAATATGTTTTTTAGGTGCTACTTAGGTAGACGGTTACACGGATTTTTGGCGATTTACTTTGGCGCTGTTTTTACAATCGCCAGCCATCTTGAAAACGCTGTTTGTACGTATTTTACGCATAGTAAAGTATTCGAAACTTTAAAAAAATAATGCATTAAATTTTTTGTTGAAAACGTCATTTTTTAAGATGGCAGGCAAATGTAAATAAATACATTTACTACGAGTATAAAATACTAACATAAGGTTAAATTATTACTTTCATATAGAAAAAAAAAAAAAAAAAAAAAAAAAAAGAATAAAAACATTGCGCCAACGTTTAATTGAATTAAAATATTTCCAATAACAACATTTCATCTTTGAAAGGGACATAACCGTTCGCTATGAAATCTAAGGAATTCGAAAAGATCTATAATAAAATTTTAAAATGGCGCGGTAATGCACAAATATTCAGTAACCAATCATACCTGTTTACAGCTCGTTAATGCACAAATATTCTGCAATCAATCAGGAAGCTGATTACATCACGCATAGAATTAAAATTATTTAAATAATCATACATAATAAAATCATTTTTCAAAAAAATGCAAAATGAAACTATTTTAATATTTGGCAGTCATAAATGTTTAAAACATTAGATTAAATTTATAGATATTAAAAACCAATTCATTTTAAAGTAAGGTGACGTCATTAATTATATCATCCACAACATAAAATTACATAAAATATCATAAAATTTTTATTTAAAATAAAAATTCACAATTAAAGTGATTTTTAATATTCAGAAGCCGTAAATAATATTTAAATTTTATAATAAAACGTATTATTTTTAAAATAAAGTGACAACGAAGTATCGGTTACCATAAATAATTTGTCCAGCAATAGGTTTACCATAAGTCGTATCGCTCGCCGAAAAAAAATCGCCAAAATCCGTGCAACCGTCTACCAAAGTAGCACTGTTTTTCATATTTCTTTCAGTGATCAAAACGATTAGCCAGGAATATTTTCAAAGCAAAATTAAGAAAATTGTTTATAACAAGTTTTTCATAAAGTATCCTTTTATGTGTGAAACATTATGTGAAAAATTGGTGTGTCAATGAAATTGCCTGTGGACCAGTAATCTCGAATGCTGTCTTTTTCAGTATGTCCCATGAGTAACACTAATTCAAAAAATTTCTGAAGCTCATCAGATATAATTGGCGTCCAGTCGCTTTCATGCTTTCTTTTTTCCCTTATACTCGTATTTGGCCTCAACTCTAAGATTTGAGAAGCATATCGATAGTTTCTCAGGTTAAAATTTTACACTATTCATCTGGAAATTAAAAAGAAGTAACAGCAAGATGAGAGTTTCCGAAAATTTAGTCCTTATACCAGGATTACCAATAAAGATCAGTATGTTAGCTTTGCCATGTTCATTTGGCTGTCTCCATTCAAATAAATCATTAGCGTTGCTTTTGAAGTCATCTGCAACTTTATCTTCATTAAAAGATTGATTAAAACATATTTCTTCTGTATCTGAACAGTGTGAATCTGTGTCAACAAAAGTTTTCCCTTCTGAATCTCTAAGCAACTTATTAATTTCGTTCTGACTGAGACCTTTGAAACGAGGTACCATAATAGGAACTAAATAAGAGCATGAAAAAAGTTACACTGAAATCACGAGAAAATGCTCTAATGTTTGACAGAGAGATAGCATCTGTTTTATTTTCAAGTACTACATTGGCGGAAGACGTCTTCGCCAAAACGTAGCCAATCAGATAAGAAACGGAACACAGTGCCTAGTCAGGGGCTTCTCTGAACAGGAAACTGGACCACCTAGAGAATCTAAAGATAAGCGATTACTCTAAAAGGGAGAGAGAAACGCTGGTACGACATGTTGTAACATAGCCGGCTTAAAAGCAACTAAATTTCACGGTACAACAGTTGTACCGCCGGTCAACTTTCAAACTTTTGACTCAAAACATATTTTTGCATATATTCATTATAAAATTCAAATTTTGTAGTAAATATATTTTGGCAGAGCATTCAGTATCTCTAAGCCTTAACCATAGGTACCTTAAGGCATTTATCATACATAACACAAATATTTTGCTGAAATCGCTTTTTGTTGTCCAGTTGCTTAGAATTTTATAAAAAAATTCATAATTAAAATCGACGTTGCAAGTTAATGAAAAATAATTACGATGTGATTTTTGTGTAAATGTCACTAAATATACAAATTGTATTACCCATCCAATATTGCGTGTTTCTTTTATGCGCAAGTGTGCCTGCTATTTGATATGTGTGGAAGTACTACCAAACAACTGTTAACATGCTCTCTGGATGTGTAAAAAAAACAAACAAAAACAAAAAAAAAAAAAAAAAAAAAAAAAAAAACGCTTTTTGAGACGAGAGCTTGGTAGCACTGTGTCAGACGTGATGCAAGAATATGATGTCTCTTTTTATTCTTACCTCCATGTGTTGCGTGTGGATGGAGTAGCATTTCTCTGACCTAAACCATAAGTGAAATTTTAGACAGTTATTTGGAATGGTATGTTGGTTTTCTTTTGTTGGTATGAGAGTAGAAGAATTATTGGTATTGGAGAAAGAATTAAGATTCTGAGGAAGTTCAGTTAACAGCATAGCAGATTCACAGTTTCGTAACTTTCTCATTTGAAATGGCTTTTTATTTATTTATTTGTGTGTATTAATAATCTTATCAAAATTATTTTAGTAAATGATAGCATTTCTACTTTTGCCCAGTTTCTCAATCATTCAATGGATATCAAAATTGTATGCCAGCTGAAATGTAGATGTAAAATAGCTTTTTTAAAAACTGACCATCCAAGAAATTCTAGAAATATTTTAATATAAAATCTGATCTATTGAGCATTCAAAGACCAAGAAAAGACATGTATTTCAAGTATTTAAAAAATTCTGACATAATGTACAGTCAACTATCAAATTTTGTGATGATGAAAGCTACAAATGCTAAGTTTTCAGATATCCAGTAAAAAGTGACATTTTCTAATCATTGGAACTTAAGAAATGCTAAATTAAGATGATATGACAAAAGTCTTGCATTGCACTGACAACACTTCAATCAGTCACAACAGGACAATCTGTAGCATGGTTTTAAATGCAGAAAATATAGTATATGTTTTGGCATTTCGAAGCTTTGAATTACTTTGTAATTCGGAAGTATTGTATTCAGAACTCTTTATGCAAAACGCATCATAAAAAGAAATATATATATAAAGAATATTCATATAATTTTTATAAGTCATGTTATCTGATGATTCAGAATCGCTGAATTCTTGACAGTTGGCGATCTCAAACTACCTACTGCACTACCTTATTATTTAAAGTATTTTCTTTCGTGATTTAAATATTTTGATGAAAGTTTACAAAAACAGACACTAAGATAACTACCGATTTAGCTAATAAATGCTGTTGAAATACAGTTGTTCATAAGTGGATCCAAAAAATCATACTCCTCAGAGGGTTAAATAATCTTAACACTTTGAAGTAAGTCATGTCATAAGATTTCACATGTGGTTATTGCAGAACTGTTCTAAAACTGCACAGGTGTGGATTTGAGCCAAACAAGAAACATACAGAATTCATAAGGGAAGCAAATACTGTTTAATTAAATGGGTAAAGGATGTTTTTAAAGCTCGTTGCAGATTTTTGTACCTATAGTTTTTACGACGATATATTATGGTCATGTACTTAAAATGTTTTTAAGAGTAATTTATGTCTAAATGTTAGATTTAAATACTTCGTTTAGATTACTTTAAAGCATCTTTTTAATTAAAGTTAGTATTTCTCAAATGAGGAACACATTTTAGAAGCATTTGCTCCAGAGAGGTTTTAAATTTGTAAAGAATGGTAGTACTTTAATAATATATTTGAATACAATTAATGCTACAGCCGGAATGTATCAAATATAACAGCATTGTGCTTTGCATTACTTTGATTCCTCAGTTTCCATAAAATATTACTATTGTAATCCTACCAGTATTGATTTTGTATGCAAGTTGTATGAGTAGAAAGTAATAAAAATGTTACTTTGTGTTTTTGCAAAGACTAAAGATGTTAATCCTTTATATATTATATATAAATTAAATATAATATGAAAGTAGAAAGGTAACATGAACAAGAGACCTTAGTGGTAAAAAATTTTGCGCATTGAGCTGCAAAATTGAAAAAAAATATTTGCAAAGAAGAGGAATGTTTGAAAGCTATTGCCAAAAAGTACATTTGACACTGTAGTTCCTGTGTAAAATAGTTACATCATGTAAAACAGCTAACACTACTAAAGAAGCCTTAAGTTATCGCATAAAATTTTAACGTAAAAATTACAAAACGATATAACTTCAAAATCAAAAAGGTTTAATCCGGAATCGCGGAAGTCCCGACGAGTCCGGATTAACGACTTTTGACTGTAGTCTGTTTTTCAGCAAACAGCCATTTTTAATCCCAAGATTTGTGTTTCTAAAATTTTTTTTTTAGTCCTTTTAATATACAAAAATTTCTACCTATTTTATCTTTAGTGCTGCTTGCTGTGCAGTAGAAGCAAGCAGGTGCAATTTTTTTAAGCCCTTTTGATATACAAAAATTTCTACTTGTTTCATCTTTTCGTACTGCTTGCTGTGCAGTAGAGCACTAAGCGTATGAATGTTTTGCAATAAAAACTGTTCTATCGTGGATATTTTATAAAATCTGATCTCAAAATAAAAACTACCATTCGTAGAAGCAAATTTAACCAATATTTTTTTTTTTTAACTTTAAAGAGTTGTGAAAGTGCACAAGCATATAATTTTCAGCATAAAGAGCTGATATTAACTACTATATAAATTCTGGGATATGGAAGTTTTTATTGACGTACTGATATTTTTTTAGAATAATTTTAATAAAATTAAAACAATTTTCTCTACATTCACAGGTATATCATTTATTAATATATATGGTATTATCATAATTGAAACTTGAGTACCTGTGCTATGTCCAACACTGATTTCTGTTTCCTCTTCTTGAAGAGAAAGGTTGTCATGAATTCCAGGATTTCCCATAGTTTCCACCTCTATTTCTATGTATAGTTAATTTCTTTAATAGCAAAAATCATTACACAAAATGTTAAAAAGCACATTACATAAATTATGAAGATATTGAGCTTTGTTTTTGTTTTGAAATGTTAATAGTTTTGAATTTGTTTCGTTATTAGGCTTTATTATTGATTTGTAAAACTGAATACTGTGTTGCTAATAAAATGTATCTTAATAAAGAATTTTCCATCTAAAATCTGTTCATAAGGTAATGAACAAAAAAAAGTCATTGCAGTTGTTTCTTCAAATAATGAAAGAAGCTTTATAATTAAAATCCCTTTTCTTATGGGAATGTGCTCCAAATAATCCTTAAATTGAAACTATGGCAGAAAATATGGGTTTTTTCCTGTCACAAAAATGTGTTAGTAAATTTCAAATATAATGTTGGATCACAATTTCCTGTTTTAATAATTTTCTGTAAAACCTAAATAAATTTATTTAAAAAATAATTAATGTGTAATTTTCAATTATGTGTAAATTTTTTATTCAGACACAGTATGTATAAGCATGCAGTCTTACTTTTATCAGTTTGAAATATAGTTTAATACAGAAGTCAATTTATATATCTTAACATGTATATTGCGACAGACTTAACAAATGCTGCTATAAGATATGTTATATGCCTTTGTATATTGCGACAGACTTAACAAATGCTGCTATAAGATATGTTATATGCCTTAAGTCATATAAAGCACTCTACAGGGAAATACTAACTAATTAGAAATCATATACTACATTTTGGGCAGCATACAAGATGTAAAACACTTACCTGCTACTTTGTACACAGTTTGATCAGAAGTTGGGGATGTTAAGGGAATGTTTCTGTTAAAAGCACTGGTTGCTTTAATTTCTGAAAGGGAACAAATTATTAATATGAGTGTTATCTTTTTTCAATTTTGACAACAGATTTCTAACTAAATGAATAGAGAAATTTCTGAAGTTGCTGCTTATTAAGATCCTGTGTCCGTATAGCCGCATAATAATTGCTGAGAAAACTACAAAATTTGTATAGTCGCATTTAAAATATTTGCGCTTCTCTCCGATGATGAAAGAAGCTGGAATCGGGTATGATTTTCTTTGCATCTTTTTTCTTACTCTAGGTATATACTTGTTCACAAGATTTTAATTGTCAGATACTTTTATTTAATTATTTTGCGGGAAATTAAATTAGGTTCTGGCAACCATTGTTCCATGTTATATAGACAAGACAACAACAACGGCAAATTAAATAAAATTCCATTGATAATCTTGAACTGGCAGCATGATTAGTGTTAAGAACATTTCTACTACACCTGCCATACTGGGATTACAAGGAATGTTTCAAAGTTCTATGCGTTTAAATCATTTTTTTAAAATTTCATCAGTATTGCAATTCACTTTTTTTTTCAAATAACATTTTATTAAATACTATTATTCCAATGAAAAAAAAATTGTTTTAGGCGTACTCATTTTTTTTTTTCCCTCCCCCATCCGCTTATTTATGGCATGGCTACATTCGCAAATTGGGTGGTTATGCCATAGTTAAACAGTTTTTTTTTTTTTTTTAAATGTGGGAACAGAATACCTTTCGACAATTTCTGGAGTTTTCACATCCTCTTTTTACATAATCTCCCGCCCAGACTGAAAAGTGGTAAGCGACGCTGACTGCGTTACCAAAGGGCCTGGAGAAGGTATGGATACTTGAGAATGTATAGTATCTGTGCAGCATGGTGGGACTCAAAACATGTGGCGAGCCGAAAGTCCTTTGAAGAGGTTGGTGGTAAGGTAAGAGAGAGAGGGGGGGTAGGAGACCCTCGGATCCAGCCCCAGGTTGCTTTCTTCAAAATTCAGGCTGAACTGAGCATAAAGTTGGGCTGTCACCCTTATGATGCTCAAGGCTGTGGACAATGACAGACGCATTCTTATACTTCTTGTCACGGTAATAATTCATGAGCTTGTTCTGATGACATCAAATAAGTGAGATAGTAATAACAGCAACATAAATAATCTGATTGCAGTTAGCATCTTCCATATTTGCGAAAACAGTCCTACGACAATGATTGTATCAATCAAACAACTGAATCGGACCAAACAATATCGCACGGGATAGCTGCATAAACATTGAAGACATATTTCTGGCTGATAGCTCTGCTTGGAAATTTCTAGGAACTGAGCTTCAGAAACACCCTACATTTTTGCAAGTGGTTAGTATCCGTTATCTATATGTTACCCAGCAAACTTTGAAATCCGGCATTCTATGGAATGCCTAGGCATTGTATATAATGCCTAAAACTAGCCGGCAATGTATGAAACGATTTAGATTTCACACATTTCCCTAAAATGTGAAAATGGCAAAGTATAAAATACATCTCCGATTCGTTTCGAATATGGCAAGGCACGTGACTTTTAACGCGCACCTCAAGCTCAGAATTTGTCAGTTGCACTTTGCGGTTTGTACGGGAGTGTCAAAATACGCAATTTTAATTAAATTTGTTCAACGGAAATTAGTTTTTTTACTGTGCTACATGAAAATGGAGGAGCAAGCTGTAGTATTAGAAAAGGAGTCATGGTCTATAGACAGGAAACAACGATTCGACGATGAACTGTGAAAAAATAGAGTTAACGCTGCAAAATATACTGTTTTCTTAACCGAAACTACTTACCAAAAGTTAATAAATCATGTACAAAAAGCCAAAATGACTACTAAGAAGGATACCTGGGACTATTGGTTGTTGGATAGTTACGATGTGATGATTGTGGAAAACAAAAGTGAACTCATTTATCCTGCTAAAGAAGGTTTTAGTATTACGTCATGGATTCTGAGTTATTTTACATACTTCAAGAAGCTCATTGTCTATTGGACACGGAGGACGTGATAGAATGTTGAAAGAACTTTCAACCAAATACAAAAACATACACGTCATGATATTGAACTGTACATCCACCTTTGTGAACCTTGCCCAGAAAGGTATTAAACAGGGCATTGCTGCGAATCCTATGTTTTTTTTATTTTTTTTTTTATTGAATTTAATTCCCGTTGTCAGATGGATCTTATTGACTTTCAGTCTCAGCCAGGTACAGAATACAAATTTATTATGGTGTACCAAGATCATCTCACAAAATTTGTGATTCTCAAATCTTTAACTGATCTTTAACTTGAGCTGAAGCTCTTTTTGTCTAGTGGACATATTCTCGTTGCTTAGAGCGCCATCTATATTATAGTCTGACAATGGTAGGGAATTTGCCAATAATGTGGTGACCTGCTTGAAGGAGTTTTGGCCAGCACTGAAGATCGTCCATGGGAAGCCTTGCCATTCACAAAGGCAAGGTAGTATGGAAACAGCTAATCAAGATATCGAAAATATGCTTTGTACTAGGATGCAAGATAATAAATCTGACTGCTGGAATGAAGGACTGCGTTTCGTACAATTTAAGAAAAATAGAGCTTGTTATTCTGGGATCAAAAGAACACCATACGAAGCTCTTTTTGGCTGCAAACCTAAATTAGGGCTTACTACGTCTTTTCTACTCGAAGATGTTTTAAAAGACATAAATACAGAGAAGCAGGTAGAAAAAGTAACAGAAAGCGTCCAAACAATGGGAAAAGGCGAAACTAATCAGATGATGCAAGAAAAAGAGCCTGTTTCAAAAAACATGTATAAGATTATAGTCGATAATGGACTAAACCAACATAATGAAGGCATGCTTACCGAAGAGATTTTCGTTTCTAATACATGTTGAGTGTGTTTAAAGGAAACAAGTGATGCACTTGCATGCAAAATGTGTCGTCAAAAAATTCATACCTTCTGTGGCCATGCAGTAAACATGATGAAATGGATATTTTGTGGAATATTTGTTTCAAAACTGAAAATGCTAAAATAAACTCTAAAATAAATCTCGAGATACGAGCCATAAAAAATGGAAATGAATTCGGAAGAAACATTTCCCACTGCTTTTTTTGAAAGCTACTGTGCGCGTTCCTATTCCTGACGTCGACAAGGGGCGACGTAATTCGCGCAATATATTGACAGCTGTAATGAGTATGACAGAGGATCGTTTCTATCGACTTGGAACTTCTGAAGGAATTTTAAAACAAGTATATGTGAGATCACAATTCACTTTATGCCCTAAGCACTTGCTTAGAATTGAAGATATTCTTGACCACGAAATTCCTCTCCGGTCAGTTGCAATTGCTTGCAGTCAGTTGCAATTGGTCAGTCCAGTGGCAGCGGCCAAGGATTCGTCAAATGTATATGTAAAACAAAGTGCCAAAATATGAAATGTCTTTGCTTGAAAAATGTAATGAAATGTAACTCAAAATGTCATTCAAGCCTGCCATGCTGTAACAAATAGGTTAATTTCTTATTTTTTATATAAAAATTTTGTTTCCCAATAAAGAAAGCATAAATTATGTTTTGTACAACTTTCATTTTTCTTTACGCATTTTGAATATTTTTTTTTAATGGCACTCTCATTATGTTTTCAGAATAACATTTATATTTTTGATAAATGCACATCATTTACATAATAACCTCATCAGGACATTTTTTTTCATACTTTGCCTAAACAGCATTTGTCATTCTATAGAATTCCTAGGTATTATATACAGTGCCTAGGTAATGTATGTAATACTTCTCATATTTCATACTTTGCCTAAAAACGTCCGGCATTGTATACAATGTGTAGGCATTTTATAGAATGCCGATGTTTCATACTTTACCCTACTGAAGAATAAATTATAAATTAGGATATATGCACTAAGAAATAAGAAACCTTCATACAGTTTTATTAAAAACGATTTGGATATAAACTTTTATCATGATTTAAAAACATTCATTACTTTTCCATCTTACAAAAAATTAACCAAAGAAGGTTTATTACTTGTGAAAAGGGCATAAAATATTGCTACAAATATGCACTGCGTTTGGAGAAATTTTTAAAAAAATTAATTTTTGTTAACAAAATAGTTCAATTTTATCTTTCCTTCCTTTAAATCAAATTTCAACATGAACAGCTGCTTTAAAACATTGAGTTTGTTAAAAACCTTCAATACTGTCTGAAATGTTTGGTGTAAGCAGTTTACAATGCCAGAAATAAAACAGTAAGATCAATTAAATAGAAATATAATTTAATTTTTTAAAAATAAACTTAGATGAAATGCGGCTTAAATATTTCGGAAATATGTTTAAATCTCGTAGTCCAAGAAAACTTTATTACTACTAATATACTTTAATTCTAAACTATTTTTCTTTTTCTTTTTTTACAATATGCATATCTTCAAGCATTACGATCACAGGAAAAAGAACAAAATGAGTCCACGACAGATTTAAAAAGTGAAGAAGTGACGCCAGAATGGTTATAGACAACAAATTCAAATGTATCAAATGGTTATAGACTACAAATGTAAGACAAAATGGTTATAGACAACAAATGTGAACAAAATGTAACAGACAAAATGGTTATAGACAACAAATGTAAACAAAATGTAACGCGCGCGTTGCTAGGTATGATAGCCCGCAAAGAGGCTATCATATGGAGATCTGAAGCTACACCATTGGTTCTTATCCTGTTTTGCCTATGTAACCCCGTTTCACCATTGCTAGATCATAACCTTCCCTCTCTTTCCAAAACTAGAAAAATACATATACATTTATTTAGATTATTTTTTAACGGCACACCCGGAAGAAGACGGAGTCAGAGTGACCACGCTTCCCTCTCTGAAAACTATGAGATACACTCCTAGCAGGCAATTGTATCTTGGTTGAGAGCCTTTGATTTACGCGATCAGATAAATTCGATTTATCTTGCTATGAGAAAAAATTTAGCACATTAAATGGAGTCCAAATAAACGAAACAAATTATCATGTGCTGTTCTATATTACACATGCTGAGTAATGTTAATATAATCGCTTTAAATTAGAGATGTCTTATATGTGATTGTTTTAATTTGTGAATATAAATACTTGCACATTTATTATTTTAAACCGAAAGCTTTATATTGAATTCAGAAAGAGTACTTACTGTACAAATTTACAGAACCCGCTGTTTCTCCAAGAGCATTTTTAGACACGCATCTGTAAACACCATAATCATCCTTATTGAGATTTTTTATGACTAATTTCATATGCACTTTATATCCATTTGCTATCAGGTATGTTTCATATTTGTCATCTGATGTGCCTACCACATGATCGCTTCTAACCCAAAAATTAGTCGCCGCCGGATGAGCTTCTGTGTGGCATTCTAATGCTATATCATCCCCTTCCGGAGCACCAACAAGCTGGTTGGGGATCCAGATCATAGGAGGAACTGGAAAAGAAAAGGCTTTCTAAATCACAAATAAACTTTCAGTTTAAACCTCAAATAGATTTATTTATTTATCAGTTTGCTTAGCTGACAAGAATTGTAATTATGTCTGAGAAATATATAATATATGTTAGATTCTGCAACAGAGCTTGTTAAAGTTTTTAGATTTTGTACCACATAAATAAAAATATAAAAATGTATGCATCAAAAGGGATTCAATTTTACATTCATTCTGAATATCAATTTAAATATTTTTTCAGAAAAATATACTTACAAATATAATGTAGTGCACCCATAATTTGAGGAACTCTGTTTTATAAATAATTTACGCATGTAGATAATGACGCATAAGGAAGAGACATAAATGTACTTTTTGATTAATCTGAGTTAAGTTAAAAAAATATTAGTTGATGTAAGAAATTGTTTTAAGTATTATTATGCATTAATTTACTGAAATTTTTATAACCTACTTAAAATAATTTTAGATTTGTATGCATAGCAATGTACAATAATTTTGCACACAAGTGTATAGCTATTCATACACCACATATAAATACTGATTTATCAACTGTTGAACAAAACTTAATGAATTTATTTGGGGGAATACATAGTGTCCTAACATATAAAGCCGGCCAGCGGTCGTACGGTAAAATCGCTGAACACTGATAGTTCCGATTCAGGCGAACGGACTGGCTGTAAGGTCATTTTCGTGGGTTTTCCCTGTATGTAACGTGTCTACGAGGCAGTTTCCGTTAGAAAGTCCTCCACAAAGTATCCCTCCCCTTAGCAGATATCCCTAATAAGCTTAACCATTATAAACTAAACCAAACCATAGCACGTAAATGCAAACTGTAAAATTAAATATCAATGCCTATAGCAGAAAACCATACATGAAATGAATCTAATTGAAATTATACATGGCAATGGAATATTATAAAAAAGTGATTGCCTGAGGAAGGAGAAGGTTTCATATTAACAGGAAAAGTGATATCCACTAACCTGTGCACCAACTCAGTATGTTTTCATGTTCTGTGTAAGTGTGGGTAATTAAAGTTTCTGAGAAAAATGTTTCTCCATCTGTCTTCGAGGTACTGAAATTCAGCATGCAATAACTGTTTCAGGGATGAGCCATAAGTTCTGGTTTTCTTTAACCTTCTCTGTTATGATTTTTACTAGTACATTGATAAAAAATAATGGAGAATAAGACACTAATTTTAAAAACAAATCCCATGATTTTTCTTTTAAGTCATAATTTCTTCTCTGGAAAGAATAAAATATGTGATATAGGACAGCACGCGTTGAAACGGCTATTCGAGAAAGTAAAATTTTTGAAAAATAATCCGTCGCTTTTGGGCAGTCCTGAGCAGCAAAAAATTCATGCTGCAGACATAAAAAAAAAAGGGGGGGAGTGTCTGAAAGGTTTCAGATTAAAACGGTTGCCCAAAAGGATTTGCTAAGGTTTTCTACGTTCTCGTGGAGTTCGTAAACTACCAGTATGCTGTTCCACTAACTCTTGCTAACCCCTTGTTTTTTTTTTTTTTTTGTATTTTTAGTTTTATTATAGGCAGAGCTTAAACTGCGCCAGAGCCCGGCTCCGGTACTTCCCAGTTTTGAGATATTTTAGCTGGAGCTCATTGGGGCCCTAAATAAAAGGGTTCCAGCACTTCTTTTATGTAAGTCAGCCACAATTTCAGCAGTCAAATTTTATTTTAATAGTGAATATATGCCGATTCTAACTTTTAAATGTTGTCTTGTCTTTCGCTCGGACTTAAACCTTGGACAGAAGTCGAGACTTTTAGGGAACGAAAAGCTTTCTCCCACATATTAAAGGCTTATTTTCCAGGATGTGCAATGAATTCATAAGAAGGGCTAGATTTCTCGTTCCTGAAGGTACTAAAAGTAATCATCCTGGTTGTGACCGTGCCAGTTCTAATGACTCCTACTGCAGAGCTCCTGTAGACTTTTTGAAGGACCAAACGCGTGAGCTACTACTACTACTCTAAAAGAGCCATACGTCTAATTCTCACTTTGTTATCGAATTGTATTCAGGGAAAATTTCCGTTTGATGGCTAGAATTATATAATCAAGGCATCGTGATCAGAAAATCTTGGAATTTTCCCTGTTTAAAGCTACGCTTTTCCTTTACAGTTTCATTCCATATCCTCATACTGTTTCTAAAATTCTCACAATTCTCCTTAGTGCCACTTTAATCGTTTTATACTTTTCCATTGGTGTGCTGCAAAAAATGAATGGAGAGAGAGAGAGATTCTATTCTAAGTTACCTGCTATCTTTTGAGTTAAGACAAAAGCAGTGCTGTAAATAAGGGCATGCAAGGAATACCGTCGCATAGGGGCCTGAAAGCTTAGGAGACCCTTGAATGTTCTGCTGAGCTAGTACATTTATACGTTTAAATTTAAAAGAAGACGGTATATGTTATAGAATATACATACATGATGCAGAATGTATATTCTTGAAAGCAGAGCACTGAATACAAAACAGAAAACTGTATGCTTTTGTTTTGATTCCCGACTAGAAGATAGCTTTCAAGACATTAGCTATAACCGCGGCTAGACTGTTACTCGGTTTTATTGTGAGAACAAGTTCGTAATTTCTTGAAGCCAGTCCGTGACAAAGGCGGCAAAAATTAAGATACAGGAAGTCAGCCCCCCTTGAAGTTCACTAGAATTCCCAGAAATTCCAGTTTTAGGAAAAGATTTCATATTGCAGTCTTCTGGGGCATTGCAGATTTACAAGTTCTTGTTTTACAACTTGAGCATAGAATTAATTTATTTACATATACAGTACAAAGTCCGAAATCCGGACTCGTCGGGACTTCGATTCCGGATTTGGGATTTTTCCGGATATTAAGATCATCAGTTTAAATCTAGGAAGATGGCATGTAGAAATTATAAAATTAAAAATATGAAATCGTGATTTATGAAATAATGAAGTATTTATGATCTAAAGGGTATCAAAATTTACAAAAAGAAAGCTTAATATTTATTTATTTACCTTATTAAACATTACTTTCAGTGTAAGTTGTTTAAATTGCTTTTTTCGTGCTAATACTTTCTCTTTAACTCTGCAGACAGACATAATCTCTTGTTTAGTTACATTGTTGAAGTCCTCTAACTGCTATTTCGAAAATTCCGACTAACTTGTCAATCGAAATTTTCTCGTTTTCAGTAACTTCTCTGTCACTTTCTTCACTATCGGCAGCGATATTTTCTGGATCTTGAGCCATAGTACAGAATTCGCCATTCATTAATTGATTGATGATTGAGAAGCATTGTGATCACAATGAAAAACTTCTTTTATATCATCTTCATTTATTACCGCTTCTCCACATTTCTTTACTAAATCCATTAGTTGGAAAATTTCACCTTTGTTTTGCGATATCCGAAAACCTTTAAAATTACCGGTTATCATCATTAAATTTATCCTTCACTATACTTATTTGGCTATGCATCATGAGCTTGGCGACTAACGACAAGTTGTTTTCTTAAATTTTATCTTGCTTCTGTCGCGCACCGAGACAATTAAGCCTGAATTGTATTAGTTATTTATTATACTTATGTCTATTTCTTGTACATGCTTAAGGCTTATCCGAGTTCTCAATAAATAAATTCTCACATAAACTTAAGCCTTATTTGAGGGCCGGCGCCTGATATCTTACCGCCTGATGCAGTCTCTGTGGGTCCTAAATTCTGCGATTCGGTTCTGGTGAATAACAAATCAGTTATTCTTAATTCAAATAGCCCTAAATGTAATCTTTGAATCTATGAGTATCATTAACAAAATTTATTTTTAGCATATGGAAAGAAATTTTGGGTAAATGTTTCCTCGTCAACACTTTTTAGCGCATTTAACTTGAATCTGTAATCATCGCCAAGCGTAATTTCAACATAAAAGGTTACCATACTCCTTTATTATTCAATTGCTAACATAAAAAAAAAAAAAAATTCTTTAGGCATCGCTACATGAGTCATTATTCAAGTTGTCATGTTTTGATAAACATGCGGTGATGAAAGGAAGGCATAATAAATAATAATTCGCCAAGTTGGCGTCAGATCAACGATGTATCTATGTGGAATGTTTCGGTTTGAGATGTGTGCAAAGCAGATACGCAGCAATGAAGCCAAATTACTGATCGTACAAATTTATGCTAAAATGATTGTTTCTTCAATAACAATGTACTTTTATTTAGTGTCGAAGTGAAATTAAGAATCGGGACTCCCCAGATGTTTTATTATGCGCGGAGGGAGAAATCAAATGCGCATGCGTAAAGCCTACGAGGAAGACGTTGTTGTTGGTTTTAGGGTCTGGATTTTAGATCATTTCGGATAATGGACGTCCGGATTTCGGACTTTGTACTGTATCTCATGATAATGGTTCATTCCAGAAGAAAATTTAAAAAAAGATTAAAATTTCTCTTCTTTCTTTCTATTCACGTTTCCTACTCTTACAGTTTTTTTCCATTTTTTTTTTTTTTTTTTTATTCAGTGGTCATACTTGAGTACTTTATAACTCTTCTGACGCACGTTAATTTCCCTACTAGTTTTTGTATGCACAATTTTGGAAAAAAATATCTAAGCCTCTTTGCTTAATTATTTTTTAAATAATAATTAAATCTTATTCAATATGATTCATAAGTAAATATATTTGAACTTCTAATATCACACAGAAGAAAACATACGTTATAACGAATGACAGTTATTGCGAAAATTGATCTATTTTAGACTCTCATCAACTGTAGGCTTTTCATACTGGTCATTGTAATAAAGCGGCCATTATAACAAGAGTCGATTCTGTTAACATTTCTAGTATGTTTTTCTTAAAATCGAACTATTTGGATATTCACCTTCCAAAACAGAGAAATTATAAAGGGGACAGACAACAATCAGCTGTTTTACATAAACAATTAATGTTTTCGCAGAAGATGAAAAGATCCAATGGAAGCTTTTCATAATCATATAGACCAAATAAGAATATTACTTCAAAGCTTCTTATAAAGCTTTTCCCAGAAATTTTCCATAAACGTTTTGTCTTAAGACCTTTTTGTTCGTATTTGTATTTGTTATGTTTTATGTATGCATACGTCTAATCAGAGACGAGCCGAGGTTTCGCTGAATAACTTGTCTTCAGAAATGAGAGGAGCGAAATTAAATTACAACAAATTTAAGAAGCTAAGGACATTTATCAACAAGAGAATTCTAAATACCAAGGTTACTTAGATTCTAAAACGTATTCGTTAGCTACTGAATCTGCAAAGTTTGCATGGAATTTTTTTTTAATAATTAAAATATAATGAATGATTCATTAATAAGAAATTTGCCTCCATGAGATCCGTATCATGCGGAAGTCGTTTTCATAATATTGTAGGGTTTATATTTATTTTAACTAACATTTATTTTAAGTTTAAACTATCTTTCCTGTCAAGCCTTACTCTTCCCTGGAATTGCCAATGCCAGAGTATGTAAATTTTAGTAGAACGCGCAAAGTATTCAAAATTGTCAGCGGAAGTTATCTGAGTTAAATTGAAGGGAAACGAGTTCGAAAGTGTGCTTTCTTGCTTCACGAGCGTGGAGGTGGCTAGGTAGAAATTGAAGAACCACGCGTTTTCGGCCTGTGTGCTTGCCTCGGCAGATAGTTAAAATCTTTCAACGCAATATTCAGAAGTTTTGCTGAATTATCAGCGGTACTTTAGAACGCGGTTAGGTTAGTTACGTTTAGAGAGCCTCGTAGGTAGTCACTTGTTATTATTCATTTTTAGTTTCTTATTTTTATTTTACCGCCGGGTCGGCGTAGTTTGTGAGCGTCAAGAGCATGCATCTGTGATTTCTAAAGTTGAATAAAAAGGGATTTAAACCCTTCTCAAGACTTTGTATACTTTCCAGTTCATAGCAGTCACCACTATTGTTGCGTGCAGGTTGGAAGCGCGCAACATTACAATATTATGTAATTTATTTTATTAGATGTATACGCACAGACTCAAACTGTAATAAAATAAACCTGCAGATACCTTTTCGAACATTCTCTGTTATACAGTAAACAAATTAAAACCTGTCGGCTTTCCAAATTTTGTGAGAAAACTCTTCAGTGAATTCAAAAGAGATATTCAGTCTGCTCTCGGTGTTGACAATTTTGACAAAAGAACTTTGTTCATATTTTTTAAACAATTGGTTTTATTTATGTTGCATACGATGAAAATAAATATTCCCTTCAGAATCAAACTCAGGATGTAACTAGGAATTTTCAGCAACATCACTTTTTCGGCAATTAGTTATTATGCTTCTAGAAGTATATAAGCTGTTTGAGCAAGAGACGCATAAAACATTTAATTTTAATATGCAGTAATAAGTTTTCAATACACATGAAATAAATAAACCTGTATGACTTTTAATAGAATAAAATCACAACTACAAAAAACTGATATCGTTAACGATAGACCTTATAAAAAATTACATTAATCATTTTACTTAGCTAAAAGGAAGACCAATCAAGTTACAGCTACATGATGATTAAATTACAATTACAATTACAAGATGCCTGAAAACAGGTATAATAATTTTTTACTATGCCGGTATCACACTCCTGCTCAAATAATAAGCAACACAAGGAATAAACATAGCGAACACATCACCACACATAACGAACACTAAAAGACATAGAAAATATATATACTGTTACCATCAAATCGCGAAAGACCAAATCGGTTGGAAGATAGTACAATAGAAATATCACTAATAACGAGTGTGATACCTTCTAGCTGAAATGCATGTTTGACAACGGCAAGGAAAGTTGGCAACAGTGTTGATCGCTTGTTACGGCAGTAGCGCCCATTACTGTAGTAATGCATGTTGTGGAGGGTGCCAGGTGGCAACCTCCACGAGTTGCTACCCGTTGTCTCAACGGATAGCACCTGCTATCCGTTGTCTCAACATGTCCCACACATGTTCTATGGAATTCAGATCCGGTGATATAGAAGGCCACGGCTGGTGTGGAATGGTTTCACTCTCCAGATAACTCCGCACCACCTCAAGCTCTATGCGGGAGGACGTTATCGTCCATAAATGGTGTCCGCCGAAAACGTCGCGGAGAAAACAAAGCAAGGAAAAAAGTCGTGGTGCAAAACATCGCGGGAGAAAACATCGCAAAGACAAAACATCGCAGTTTTAAAATATCGTGGTCGAAAATAAAGCGGCTCAAAAACTTCGTCTACAAATCATCACATGACGATAACATCGCACACATGCGTTTTCAGGTTTTGAAAAATGTAAATGCATGTTCGTATATAAAGATCGTTGAGCGCAAGAAAGAAAAAGGGATTCTTTTACTTCCTATATTTCCTATATTTGAACGAACTAAAATAAATTTTTGCTGAAAAAATAAGAAGGAAACTTAAGGATTTAAAAATTGAAAATTAGTAGAGCATTCATGCAACTTAAAAAGCTTAATAGAATTTTAAATTTATATAGTTAATTAACAAAGGTCATTAATAAATTAAGCTTTTTTTTATAAAGTTTAACTGATAATTTTTCACGAAAACTACAGTCAAAAAATGCTTAAGAAAAGGAAGATATGTAACTGCATGAGGTTACCTCTATAAAAATTGCTTAGTTAATGATCAAATTATTTTCTTTCACATTTGTTAATCTGATATTGTTTTAATGAAATTACATTTGCTTTGTTTCCGCCTATTTCTTAAAGTGTCGTTAACATTTTCATGTATAGCGTGCAATCAATTTTTTTGGATGTCGATTTGTTAATGACGAACGTCAGTTACATAATATGTAACTATGCGATTTGAAAAACGCATGTATGCAATGTAATCGTCATGCGATGATTTGTAGGTACTTTTTTTTTTTTTACCACGATATTTTCGGCGACAATGTTTTTAAACTGCGAAGTTTTTGAAGCGCTTTATTTTCGACCACGATATTTTGTACCATGATATTAGAGCTGCGATGTTTTCTCCCATAATGTTTTGTACCGCGACGTTTTCTCCTTTCGTTGTTTTCTCCGCGACGTTTTCGTCGGCGATGTTATTGTTCGCGGTGTTTTTGGCTGTGACCCCATAAATATCTCGTCGGTATACATTGCAGTGATAAAAGGATGCACAAGAGGGTGTAGCATTTCATCGCGATATTGAACGGCTATGACAGAACTACTAGGAATCACGTAGAGGTCGGTGCGGCCTTTCGTTAGTATCCCAGACAATACAAGTAACCCTCCTTCGACAATGCTTGATGCTTGATGGCGTGTTCCTGGCTCTCGCCATAACATTGCCCTTCGGGAATCGTTTTGGATGTTAAACTGAGACTCGTCGGTAAACATTATGTGGCCCCACTGCTCTGGTGTCCAACAGCGATGTTCACTGGGCCCAATTCAACAGCATTCTGACATGCGATGGCGACAAAGGAGCACAAACCACAGGTCGTCGAGCGTACAGTCTACCTTTACGCAGTCGACGCGACACAGTTTGGCGTGATATGAACTGTCCTGCAGCAGTAGAGATGCGACGCTAGCTGTTGTGCTGTTAGTGATCTAAGAAGTCTTGCACATAGCAACAGGAAGCAATTGTCTGTTGTTGTGGTAATCCTCTGGCGTCCAGACTCACGTCTCTTAGAGGCAATCTGATCCGTTTAGTAACGATTTCACAGCCTACAGATGACACTACGATGCAAATTCAGCTCTCTTGCCACAGCGGCTCGTCTTGCACCGGCACGTCAGCCCTCCAGCGCATTTCATCATGCAAATGCTATCTCCGGTACATGCTTTCCTCTTTGGCTATCTCGGATTACACAGAACTATTGCTACAAACAAACTGACGTATAGGTCCGGCATGTCCTTTTTTTAAGGCATTGTGGTGTGACTACGGGATTGCTAATTTTGGTTGCGTATTAGTATTCGACGATGCAACCCCGTATCTCATATGTAAATTGTATGTTTTAATTACCTTTCTTACATTCATACCTTTTCTTTTAGCGTTTGTTGCTTATTTTTTGAGCATGTGTGTATTTTACTTTTATGTAATTATTATGTTTCTATATTTTTCGTTATTATGATCAAATAATCGCCAAGCTGGCGATGGTTTTGACAACAGGTTTTAGTCGCCAAATTTGGAGAGAAATTGCCAAAAGTCGCCAAACTGTCATTTTAGTCTGGTTCCTGTATAACTGAATGGGTATTGTAATTGAATAACTGTAATTGATTCAGTTACGCAGTTGTAACCGTTAGATGTAACTTCAACCGCATATGCCTTCCAGTAATTTCGAAAAATAGTATTCACCAGAGATTTCTCGGCGACCGGCTGAAAACTGTATGAGACAGGAGAGAGCATCTGCTTTCAGTAGCTGTTTAGTTCAGCGTTAGTTCCGAGTATTGAGATAACTCCATGTTATCTTCGCTCTTTAGATGCACTTTGCTTTGCGTTGTGTTTGAAGTTCTTAGTAGTTTTAAGTGTAACTACTGATTGTACTCTGTGATAATGTGAAGATCTATACGAATACTTTTGTGAAAAGTTCCAGAATTGTGAAATATTTCTTTTGATAAAATAAGTTTTATCAAGGTATCATCACTTTTGTGTGCATTCAATCTATTACGAATCCATATTCACACAACAGTTCGTATTTTAGTCCGGAAATAAAGGTTTTATGCTTTTAACTTCCCAGTCCTGATTTTCGTGATAATCTGTGATTTTACAGTATCTCGAAAAATTCTGTCTTAGATTTGTTTAAATGTCTTGAATCGTTGTTGGCTGGATACAACGAATACCAGCATATTTTCCTTGACAGCATTGTAAGCAATGTCAGAGTAATAAACATTTTTTATTTCCACAATTTTCTGATTTTCAAATTTTAGCACTTACAGTTAATGTTTAAATAAAATTTCTGCTTACATGTTATGTCAACATGCATTCTTCTACTGATGGCCGGCGGAACGCCATTGGACGCTATGCATAAATAAGCTCCCATACTCTGCCGAGACACTTTGAACAGATTCAGCTCTTCTCCATCATAGAGATCCACTAAAAGTCATTCAAAAGAAGAAAAAGTTTCACTCAATTAAAAGCATAATAAAACTGTGAATGCATTTCTATGCAAATTTAAGGTTCACAATAATTGAATATTAAAAAGTCTTATTATACATATAAAATGCAAAGCTAAATTTCAAAATGCATTTCTCTGCTATTTGAAACTGAAATTATATACAGGCTTCTATAAAGCGCTCTATTGATATTTGTATTGTGTATCAAGAACTGTTTGAGGATTGGTAATGGTAGAAGAAATAACAGTTGCTTTTGCATTTCGTTTAAGAAGATTGTATTCTAAAGACGTTTAAGCCGAACTACAATGAAAATTTTGAAAAACTATATAAAAAAGGCTGTATTCGGTTAATTGCTAATAAATTTCTGAGACAAGTAACATGGCAGATGGAAAATATTCTGGTAGAAAAACAGCATTTTTAGGCACTGTATAAAGTATTCGGTAATTAAAATGAAAGTATATTCTGTCAGCAACTGTTAGCCGAATAGAAGTAAATTTTACACACAACTATGTGCAAAGCATTACATTTTATCTCAGATAAACATGGTTAGGTTGCAAAATATTAAATTACTCTACGCGCTTCGCGACCTGTAACAATATACAACTTTTTTCAAATAATTTAGTCTAACAGGAAACAGATTAAGACCTTAATAGATGTCCTGTATTGAAAGAATAGAATTTTCTTCCCAGAAAAAGATATATGAAATATAAGAAAGCCTCTGAGAAATAATTTTGTAATTTTACTTCGCTAATAAAAATCTTCACTCTTCTATGTGATCTTTTGAGAGAATTTAATTTAGAAAATACCTTTTTTAACAGCAAGTATAAATTATAATATTAATTATTTTTGTTTAGGTTTATTCATTAAACACGAGCCGGTATCCATGCAACAGGAACTATGCCGATTTTAAATCATTTTTTTAAAATGTATGTATATTAAATTAATTTTTCGAAGCATTATTGCTTTTTATGCTGTGAGATATTGAAAGCAAATACTTTACCGTAATGGGAGAGATTCGCATAAAAGAAGACAGTATCAAATAATTGGAGTAGACTTTAAACTGCTTTTATAACTAACAAGCTAAGCTTGATGTAAAATTTCTGGGAAGTAATACATCGCAGTGTGGAAGACTATTTCAGTATTTACAGCAAGATTTGCTAGGTCATAAAAGAGTCCAGAACTTCATAATGAATTTTTGTTTTTTTAGATCTGTAACCCCCCCCTTCCTAATCCAGTGGCCTGAAAAGTAAATCATGAGTTTTGGAAAAAAGGAAAATTTGATTCACTTAGAAAAATGTTTATTATTATCTATTTATATTAAAATCTATTTATTTATAAATGAATGTTTTAGTCTCTTATGATTTTCTTGGTGATAACAAAACATTCGACTTTTTATAGAGGTATGAAGCATTCAATTAAATAAAAATGTGCTTCATACACAAATGTTTCCTTTCTCGAAATTAATTTATTTACAAACTCGAAGATGATAGCATTAAAATAAGCGCTTATCGAGAAATTTACAGTTGTCACTTCGAAAGAAAATCAGTTCAGTGATACTAACCGTTACTTATCCGCCTTTTAAAATAAATGAAATACAATGGCTACTAAAAGCAATAAAATAAATAGTGACTTATTATAAGTCATTATGTATTTCATTTCTTTTAATATACGTTTTTGGTGAAAAACTTTTGGAAAAGTCGTTTTGGCCTTATAATTATGGATTGCACAAAATTATTAGATTTTAATACGTAAACACTTACTAAATTAATTAAACATGAGATGTCATCATTTGTCTACTATATCACTGCGAATTATATGCAAATTAAAATTCATTAGTTTGCAAATATCTTCTGCATTTAATGAAATACATAGATGAAAATATTATACTTACGTACTTTTCCACTGACCATTTTCGAAAAATCTAAACTGTTGCCAAACAGTATGGCTGAATGACAATAATGGACAAATGAGATGTTACAGCACACTCATAAGATATCTTTTGATTCAATATGATTCCGATTAATTCTCGATAATCCAGTTTAATTTTTATAATGGATTTTTATAATTAATTGCTATTTCTTTGAGGGGAAATTTCACTTATGGGGGGATGGGTAAGATTAACCTTTGGAACTTGCCTTGGAAGAGCTTGCAGTAAAATATTTTTAAAGGGATCCTGGCATAAAAAAGGAATGTGTGTTTATCGACACATTTCGAAGGGATAAACAATTTTAAAAGGGATAAACAATGGCGATTTATATTCTTTTTACCGAAATGTTTGAGACAGGTTTACAATTAATTTAACAAAATAAACAAAAAATTTAAATATGTAACAAGTTCATATTTAATTTTTTTGTACGCCATATCCGTAATTTGTATTTATTAGTTATTTAACTTAATATAGAGCGATTGGTTCCTTCGAACTTTTGCCGAAATTATTGATGCGTGTCTGGCGGGAATTTTGCCAGTTTCAGGGTAAACTAAGTCCTAAATACTGGAAATGTTAATACATTTTACTCATAATGTATTGACCTACATTTTGTATTGACCTACATTCAAGCGTCATAGAGAAGTTTATTGAATAATTCGAATTTAAGGGTTTCGAATTCATGAAATAAATTTTAAAAAAGACTGATTTTTATACACGAAATAGAAAAAAATCTTAAGTATGTGCCTTAATATTTATAGAAAAATAGCTGATATTTCCAAATTCAATAATGAATCGAAATAAAATGAGATCGACGCATCTAACTGTGCATATGGTAATATTCTATTTCAATGGATACACAAGATAGCTTAAAAAGGAATTTATTACAAATGCAACAAACAGATATAATCCAGAACCTAATACATAGCATTGAATTGACAGTAAATCACAAAATCTTGTACAGTTTGCATTTGTTACTTTTATGGACAAGTTGAATGCGATTTTTATATAATCTTATTATCCCTCTTTTTTCATTTAATATTGATTCGTGAGCTCAAGTCACTCTAATCACAGAGGATAACAAAACAGTTGTATAATAGGTAATTGTAATAAAGGTACCTAAAATGGATTAAAAAGCATATTCTTACATTGCCATTCAGTGAAGTGAAAAATGTTTATTTTTATCGGAAGAGTATCTGTTTCTGTGTTCCAAATATTTTACTAGTAACGCTTTTGAAAAATATTTACCTTTCTGTTGACCTACTAAAATAGGGTGTCCATCCTCCCTTCTCCATTTGATCTTGGGAATTGGATTGCCCGTTGCTCTGCAGGATAGCGTGATGTTAGCATTTTCAGCTACGGATATATTCCGATTTACGACATCGTTGACGAACTCCGGAGGAACTACAAAAGGGATGAAATAGTTTTAACTGTCACCCAGTAACATATTTCTTCGTACAGTGTTTGTCAAAATAAGAAATCCATCGACAGTCTCCGATATAATCAAGAAATAACACTAAAATATCTTGCTATTTTTCTTGTAAGAATTATTAATTTCTTAAACATTATGTAGATGGATTTAGCGCATCATGTGAAACGTTTTAGGATGTAATTAATCTGTCTTACAGCCCAAGATATGATAATGATAATCTGTCTTATTTTGTAGAATAGATCAATCTATTTGATATTTTTAATATAAATTTCAATGATTCTTTGAATATTAATGGACTTATCTCTTTCAGTGAACATAATTTTATCATTTATTTGTAATTTTCTTATCTTTAGATTATTCGATGAAAATTTTTGTTTTTATAAATCGAAAGCTTTCTCATAATAATTTTAAAACCAGAATTATATTAAGAGAAATTAAACATATTTACAACCTGTGTACTTTTAGCCTGTGCATTCCTTTAATGTATTTTTTTTCTATAGTTATAGCTCTTGTTCTTAACAAAAAACGATGCGGTAATTAATAATATGCGATAATATGCGATGAGGTAATTAATAAACGGCGATGATATCCCAATGTGAGTAGCAGGTGCCTTTAAGATGGGACGTAACTCGATTTGGATATGAAGGTTACACAGATGCCTTATACACAGATGCCTTATCACCAAACAATATGAAGGTTTGCCCTTTTTTCAGATTTATATTTATTCTGCCTGAATATATATATATATATATTATTTACTAAATAATATTGATTAATTGATGATATTATACCTTTTAAGTTTAGTTAAAGTAGAATGATCTTAAAAGAGTGAATCCATACTAGTAAGTTATATTTTGAAAGATGTTTTGAAGTAACTTGAAAGTGAAATGTTAATAATGTTTTAACGGGGACTGGAATTAAATCATCATGAAGAACAAAATTTCAATTGTAAAAGGAATAAATTAAAGGCAAGAATTAAATTAAATGCATGTAATCATTGTCATTGATAGGAAATTAGTTGACTTTTCAAGGGGAACAAACCAACTCCCGTTCAATGAACAATAATTAATAAATAAATACGAAGGTGTTTCGTCTTTACTCGAGCTATAAGGCTAAGCCAAACCGGCAATTCAAGTCAGGCCAAATATTTCCGTGAATAGAAGGGATTATGAACCAATGCTGATATTCAAAGAGCTTATTCCTATGAAGCATTTTAGCCAATTCAATTTTGAGTGAAAAGCAATTTCTGCAGTGAATTTCGAAAAACTCGAGTAACTGTCCCCCGACACCCTCGTGTTTATGCATTTGAGTTCAATATTATTTGTAAAAATTAAACATTGGAAAACCCCCCCCCCCCCCCCCCCCCCCCCCCCCCCCCCCCCCCCCCCCCCCCCCCCCCCCCCCCCCCCCCCCCTCCCCCCCCCCCTGAAAAATCGGTTTGTCGTTCAATATTTTGTAAAATAAAAATAAACATTGGAAATTGTCATTATGAATAGAATTCAAAGTAAAGTTGAAATAAACATAGAAGATTACAAAATAAGATAAATAATGCAAACTTTGTAAAAACAAATCAAAAATAATAAAAAAATAAAAAATATAATTAGAAAAGTGAATGTACATGAAGATATAAAGGCCAGAAAAAGTATTAATTAACTTACGTTCTTTCTAGTGGGGAATCGGCAAAGTGTTCTCTTCGCGTCTGACTCAGAAGTGTAGTGTTTCCGAAAAATTCTTAGCGGCAGCGGGGGCTTTGAATAATATCAGTCGGTAAGACTTGGGTGAAGTAATTTATGGTAGTGGGTGGGACTCGGAATTCTTGAGGGATGTATTCTGTGGAGTTCTTATTTGAGTGAAACCGTCTGTTAAAATTTTTTTTGAAAATACTAGTGAATGGAAATTAATTAATTTCTGGCTAATTGTCGTGTCGAAACAATTAGGAATTTAAGAAAGGAAAAAAAGGAATTTTCACTGTCAAAGAGCTATTTGACAGACTAAATATTATGAAATAGGCCCATTTTTTAGTAACAGCACAGTAACAGCATAAGTCTGAAGACAATTAGCTTTTAATTTAAATTTTATTCTGAAAAGAACTTCCTCCTACTGTTTCAGGGTCACAGTATTTTGATGATATCCAAAAAAGTTGTCAAGGCACGGATATCAGATATGAGGGAAAGACAACTGCAGATCATTCTTAACAGGATACAGAAATGGTCAAATAGGCTTGAATCTGTATTTTCAAAACATTGCAGAGTCATTAGGTTTATTCGGAGAAGAAAACGTGAATAATGAGAAACGTCTTTTTATCAGGATTAGAACTCTGAACTTCCCCATTGTTACACGCATGTGCTTCCAATTACACCACGATGACATGGAAGGAGATAAAGAAGGAGGAAATGCCTTAAACAATCCCTATTTCAAAGGCGAATGAATAGTTGGGACACAATGGCCAAATTCTGGTTGGAACGAATTACCGTCCACAATACACTGGTGTGCAAAAATTAAGGACGAGACGGTTTTGTCAATATAACTTTGTACAAAAGGTTTCCAAATATACACATTTAATACCGTAAGATCCCCAATACGTAAGGACATGAGTAGTGTAAGCAACACTTAAAGAGAAATCAGAGGGATAAAAAGAAGCTTTATTGAAAAAGTAGCATGGAGCGCAATGCGACTGAAGGCCGAAACATCCCTGTGATGGGTGTCCAGCAAGAAACATCCGGTCTTTAATAGGGTTTTAACTGCTATACGGCGTGCAATCTCTTTGCCAGAAATACTGATCTTACACCGACAACATGCTTTATACTACACAGACACTCCCCCATTACGTCTACCTGCATATCTGCGCATGTGCTACCATACATCACCTTACTTAATCTCCTGATTGGTCTTTCTGTCCGCTCTGCCTCTTCGTTCAGCTGATATGCTAATTTTTAGACTTCGTCCTTAATTTTTGCACACCAGTGTATTTTAGTTCAAGTCTTGAACCATATTGGATAAATGCGCCACTTTCAGCTTGAACTTCTGTGTTACTTGGTCGCTGTTTCGTTGTGCTCGCTTTCTACTGCAATAATATAAAAAATGTAAATGTTCTTGAATAGGTACGACTGGAGTGCTAAGTGATCTATGGCCACAAATGTCTATTGCAAATAAAAATGAAATTGGAAACTGCCTCGACGGGCAAATTTCTTAGATATTAAGAAGTCAACATATTAGCATCCTACGCAATTAGAATTCTGCCTCTTCAATATGGATCTACGATCTGTCCTATCTAAGTATTACGCATCAACACTGCTCCTTCTTTTTCTCGTTTCCATTGCATATATATACAGAAAGGAATGTACTCGCTGTGTTGGCGCATCAAGTCCTTTTAAATAAATGCAAAATAATCCCCAGTTTACATTTACAGTCACATGTTTACACAACCTTATTTCTACATACTTAGTTGAACCACCCTGTATGTACACAGCGCGTAACCCTTTCCTTCAGTTGATTAAATACTACATGATTCTTGTACAATTTAAATAAAAGAGAAGTTTAGTTCAGAGTAAATCGAAAGAACACATTTATTGTTAGGCATAAATCTGAGAAATAAAGGTGCAACCGCAACTTTAATAGAGAGACCTTTTAAAAGCTTCTGACAAAAAGTTTTAGTAATCTTTTTTTATGATTGCTTTCTAAGACTATTTAAAGTGCCAACATTTTATTTTATAGACAATTTAAGAATGACAAGAAGTTTCTTAGGCAAAGGTGATTCAATTTGATGCCTTTTTTCCCCTTTACAAATCTGCTATTTACAGCCTGCTTTCATGCATACTTGAATCTACGAATATGTAAATGTAAACGTCACTACTTTTGTCTCATTTTCTTCCTTTTTAATAATACAAAATAGAACCTGATAACATTTGGAAAGCTAGTATATCAGATTTGAAATGATGTATTATAGGATTTCTAATAAGTCGAACTATTCATTAAAATATTAAGTACGTGGTATTTTTTATTTCTTTAGTTGATGACAGAATGATATACAGCCGGCAGATTTATGGTATTGTTACGAAATGTACAGGCGAGGTAAGATGGATTCCCCGCAAAGCAGTTTTAGGGTTTCCATAAAATGGCAAGGGAAAGCAGGGTTGCCACATTTGGCGAGAAATTGCCCCTTGGCGATATACCATTGACGGATGGAGAACTTTCTGGAACGAATTCTTAGTGGCTTAGCCCAGGATGTTCTCGAACACAAGCGGAAAGCTATATAAACCCTGCTGGTCCGCAGTCAGTGTGTGTGTGTGACTCGTCTAGCGAGCTGATAGTCAGTATTGAGAGTTTGCTTCGTCTAGAGTGCGTCTCGAGTTAGTCCGTGAGGAGTTGACGGGAAGAAAATCTTCAAGTGCTGAAATTGCGGATTGAAAGGACATCTCAACTGGAACTGACACGTGAATCAAGACTGGGAGAGAGCTCCCGCGGAACAAAACCAGGGAAACTAAAGTGTGGCAATTTCACGGGGCGGAGGTTGCCAGGCAAAGATGCAGCCCCTCTGAAAGTTCTTCAAATCTCTTCAATGAGCGGCGGAGATAACGGACTGTTCGTCGAAGGATACGTGAATAAGCATCCTTGTAAAAAGATCATAGATACGGGAGCAAATGTAACCATCGTGAGAACAGATGTAGCTCGAAAATTGAGCGAAACGTTGCGCTGGACTCCGCCCTGTGTGACTTTACAAACAGCGACAGGTGATAAGATTCCCATTGAAGGTAAAATTAACATCATCATTACCTTCGGAAATGAGACCTACCAGCACTTAACTTTCGTTGCTAACATCGCGGACGAATTAATACTCGGACTGGACTTTTTGCGGAAGTACGACTTTACGTTGGACTTTAAACGTAACGAAATGCTCTCTGCAAAGGAAGATATAACTGTGTTTGAAATGAAGAGCGGCATTCCCTCAGCTCACCAAGTAACAACAAAAACA